TCCACTCCTGTTCAGCCCAGTAACCTCAGATAAATTACATAACCTCCCTGACTCTGGCTTTTCTCATCAGTCAGATTGGAACAACACAACTACTTTGCTAGATGATTACAAGGAATAAAAAAATAATGGACATGAAGTATGAAAACAAATATATGTATGTATATGCATGACTGGGACATTGGGCTGTACACCAGAAATTGACACACTGTAACTGACAGTACTTCAGTAGAAAATAAAATAAAAAAAATAATGGATATGAAGTGATCGGCAGGATGTCAGACACACAGAGGATGTTTAGAAATGATCATTCCTATTCCTAGTGGTTAATTTACAAATGCACTTCATGCAGATGGAAACTAAGGCATTCTCACAGTATGCGTGGTGTGAGTTATCATAGCACCAAACCCAAGGTTCAGGCACAGACATTTCTCAAAATGTTAAGTAATAGACATGTTTTATTCTGGAAGAGGATAGATCCGTGTCTAGGCTCACCGCAGCTAGTTTACCCATTCATCTGCTGGAGGACATTTGGGTTCTTTGACAAATAACGCTGTGAGCATGAGTGTGCAACTCTTGTGTGGACCCATGCTTTCATTCTCCTTGGGCAAATACCTATGAGCAGAATGGCTGGGTCACACTGTAGGCACATTCTTGATTTCTTACGGAACTACCAAACTGTTTGCCAAAGTGGTTGCACCATTTTACATCCCCACAGGCAGTGAATGAGAGTTCAGGTTGCTGCGTGTCCTCTCCAAACACTTGGTACGGTCGGTCGGTCGTAATTTTACACCTTCTAAGAAGAGTATTGTGTTATCTCTTTGTCATTTTAATTTGTATTTCCCCAGTGACTAATGACACTGGGCATCTTTTCACGGCTTTATTAACCAATTGTGTGTCTTTTTCGGATATAGAGTCTGTTCAAATCTTTTGCCCATTTTTTATGGGTTTGTTGTTTGTTTTTCAGTTACTGCGTTTTGAGAGTTCTTTATATAGACTGGATGCAAATCCTTTGTCAGACATGTGATTTGTAAATATTTTCTCTCAGTTGTGGCTTGCGTTTTCATTCTCTTTACAGTGTCTCCCAAAGAGCAGAAGGTCCTAATCATAACGAAGTCCATTTTATGTTTTTTTTTCTTTTATGAACCTTTCAGCTTAGCTCTTATCAGTATGAGTGTCTCATGTGTGATAAATTGAAATATGTATTGGCTGCTAAATCAAAGTCTCCATATAGTCTAGGAAGGGAAGTTTAGAGATGTCAGTGAACAATATATGGGAGTATGGATTGTATGAACATCAAAGATCTTCTCCGGTACAAGCCTCTAAATGGTTGCTTTGAACTAAGTTTGAAGAAGAAGTGATAAAATTAGAATATCATTTTTCAGTAACTACTGAAATAATGAATCTGGGCAATGATCATCAATAACTGTAACATCACACAGACACAAAGGAGGGACGGCCGGAAATTGTGTGCTTCCTAGAGAAGGACACAACACAGCCTAGGAATTAGCCTCCAGTGTGAATCTGTCTAATTGAGCCCCTAGAACTACCAACTTACAGGAAATACAGGGGACAGAGAACGTAATAAATGGCATATGGATATCTGATGAGTAAAACCCAGACTGAGGGTAACTCTGCAGGACAAACCACTCAGTCTTCAACAGATAAATTTCACGACAAAGAGAGGGAAGGAGAAATGAATGGATGGAAGGAGGGAAGGAAGTGAGACCTATAGATTAAAAGAGTCATAAAAGACATAACAACTAATTACAATGTAGGAATCTTATAATAAGGAATCTTAATTCAATTTTTGAAAATTATGAGACACTTTTAAGGAAATGTGTGCCTTAAGTTTTGTGACTTGAGAAGTTATTGCTAAATTCTTTACATGGGATAGTGGTGTTATGTTTATGAAAAATAAACCTTTCAGAGATGCATGATTCAGCATTTATGATCTCATGGGTTGTATGAGATCTGATTGAAAATAATCAGGGGAAGGATATGGTGGGGAGAGAAGTGAATAGAGGCTTGGGTGAAACAAGATTGTCCGTAAGATGATGATGGTCAAAGCTGGGCAAGGGGCACGGGGGGTTCTCTATACCTCTGTCTACACTTAAAGTTTTTTAATAAAAAAAAATTTAAAAGCAGTGTTAAAGGAAAAAATGAGATAGATTCGTGTGTAGAAAACCAAGTTCTTCAAAAGGCAGGTGGTCTGCAAGAAATCTCAGGATTAAAAGAAGCACCAGAAGATAGAAGAAAGAGCTCCACCTTCAGTAATATTTTTCAGGATTATTGTAGCCATAGTAGCATGAGAAGAAGGCGTTTAGTAAGTGTTAGACAGTGTTTAGTAAGTTATGCCACGTATATCTCATTACAGCACTGTCCCGTTGTCTCCTCTTACTAATTTTAAGATATCCTTGAGCCCAGAATGCCCTGTTTATCTCTAATTCCCCAGTGTCTAGCACAGTACCTGGCTTAACAATAAATGTTGATCCTTGAGACAACTGAATAAATAGAGGAATAAAGCAAGCAAGCAAACAAGAAACCTTCTGCATGTAGAACACGTTTATAGTCTTCAGAGTGTTTTATCCTGGACTCAAAGTGTCTATTTGGGTTCATATTTGGGTAATCAGTAGCTCTGGCATGTTAAAGAAAAAAAACAACAACAAACTTTCCAGAAAAGAGTCCTCATTGTAGAAGCTCCAGTTGCTTTTGGAAGTATTTAAAATTATAGTAAATAAACTGATAGATGTAGGAAGTCCAGTTAGCCAAATGTAGGGCCCTTAAGAGAGACTTTAATTTTCACCCTTTGTGATGGAGGGCTTAGGAAGTGAGCACTGATTAGATCAGATTAGCCCCTGGCTGTATGTACTGAAAAGCAGATGACAGGTTAACATAGATGGTGCCATGGTCCTTTCTAACCGGGTGTTAATTTCTTTTAGTTTCAACAGGTTAGTAATTCGCATTATCATGATGCTATACCAGTTGGTACAGTGCTGCCACCTATGGGACAACAGTAGAATTTGTTCTAGTGTTGTAATGCATGGATTTTTACATCATGCTTTAAAAAATGTAGAAAACTTGCCATCTAAATGAATTTTTTGATGAATTCTTTGGTAGGTTACTGATGACCTCTCAAATTGCTCTTTTGTAAAGATCTGATTTGGATTTGCCTTAACGAAAAGACAGGTGTATGGGAAAATGTGAATTAAAACATCTTACTATGCTTTTTGTTTTCTTATTAGAAGTTGTACAGGGACTTGGAATTGAGAATAATGAAACCATAATGTTTTAAATCTGGAAGGTGCCCAAAGCGTTGTCCAGATTAGTACACTCAGATTAGCCCAGCATAAGGTTATTGTGAGGATGAAATATTAATGTGTTAAATATGCAAAAAGAACATGAAAGCTCTCTGAAAGTATACTGATTATTATCATTGTCATTATCATTAATTCTTCTACATTTCAAAGGGCTTTATGATAGTTTCAGACATTTCCCTGATTGCTTGTCACAGCTCACTAGAAGGTCATTATTTTTACCTCCTTATGTGCTGAGGAGGAGACGTTCTCAGGGTCAAAGTGCTGTTCCGCCGTTTTCATTGAGCTGGCATTTTCATAATATTCAATCAGTCATTTCTTTGCAGGAATCTTTAAGCCATTTATGTATCTTATGAGTGTTCTTTAAAAGTTAAAAAACTGTATAATGATTTTATAATTCATAAATCCATTTCACTGGACACTTTGGAGACCACTGGTTCTGAAAGCCTGGGGTAGCAGTTGGTTTCCATGGGGGTATCATTAGGGATTTTGAAAAGTTACAGGTGACGCAACTTTTTAAAACTTCAAAGTACATTTGTAATGGCAATGGAAACTAGAAAAAAAATTCTCTAATCAGTGATTTTTGGAGATTGAGTACTAGGGTGAGAAGGCTGGTCTCCACAGGGGTAACCTGTATTTTAAGTATCTCTAATTCACAGTTGTTCTGTGAATTAAGTGTAAGTTGAAAAGCGAGGGCATATGCAGTTTTTCTTTTTTTTAAAAAACCTGTTTTTAGTAAATTGAAGTATAGTTTATTTACAATATTAGTTTCAGGTGTACAACAGTGATTGAGTAATTTTATAAAATATACTCCATTTAAAGTTATTACAAGACAACAGTTGTATTTCTTTGTGCTGTGCAATATCCCCTTGTTGCTTACTTATTTTATACACAGTAGTTCGTCAACTCCCTACTCCTGTCTTGTCCCTCCCCGCTGCCCTCTCCTCATTGGTAACCACTGGTTTTAAAACAGACTCTTGAAAAGTAGGCTTACATCTGACTTTCCATATGTGTCTCTTCTGTGGCACCACAGTTGTTTCTATTTAGTCAAAATTATAAAAAAAATTTTTTGTGGGTAGATAATTAAGTTTACTTATTTTATTAAAAAAAAATGGAGGTACTGGGGATTGAACCCAGGACCTCATGCATGCTAAGCACATGCTCTACTCTGAGCTATACCCTCCCCCCCAAATATTAATTAATGATTGTTATGAAAGATTTTTACTTCTAATTAGATATAATTATATACTGTATATTTACATAAAATACATATTTATAAGCCCAGACTTTTACTTTAAATCTTAATATAATTATGAAGTGCTTTATAAAAACTTTATTTTGGTACAGAAACCTGTATCTTCAGTCTGTCCGTTTATTTGCTGAAACCAAAAATATAATGGGCATTGTTTGACATTTGTATGTAGTTTGGTCTCCAATATGTTCTGTTTATTCCCTTGAAGAGTCAATGTAAAAATGATGTTTGTCATTTCTTCCTATGGGTTTTTAAAACAGAGTAATGAACTGAGAGCATAATAAAATATACATGTTCTGGGAGGAGGGTATGGCTCAAATGGCAGGGCACACGCTTAGAATGCATGAGGTCCTGGGTTCAATCCCCAGTACCTCCTCTAAAACGAAATAAACCTAATTACCTCCCCCCTCAAACAATAAATAAAATAAATAGAATTTTAAAAAATACACATTCTTACTATATAAATTATGGCATTTCTTTTCAGGAAGATCTGTGGAATTCGTTTTGATAGAACTTTATAAAATACTTCTATTTTCTCTAGGTGGATGGTACTAGGCATTGCCATGGTACGTTTTTATATGGAAAAAGGAACACACAAAGGTTTATATAAAAGTATTCAGAAGACACTTAAGTTTTTCCAGACATTTGCCTTGCTTGAGGTAAGTTTTCAATGGTGGTGTTTTTCTATCAATTTACTATTTATTTGAACATACATCAGTTGAGCAAAATCAATTTTATTTTGGTGACTATTTACACCCTATGAATTCATTTAAAACCAGTGATGACAGGAGTTGATTTTGTTGTCTGCTATTGACGTAAGCTTTTTATTTTTTTGTTTGCTTGCAGATAGTCCACTGTTTAATTGGTGAGTTTTTGATTTAACTTTCATTTTTGGCATAGATTGCATTTAGGGACAGTGGTTGACTTGTTTTCCTCTTTAAGGAATTGTACCTACTTCTGTGCTTGTGGCTGGGGTCCAAGTGAGTTCAAGAATCTTTATGGTGTGGCTCGTCACTCACAGTATAAAACCAGTAAGTGACTCAGCACGTTCTCTGCTTGAACCTGTAAGAGAGCTTTCTTATTAACAGGAATCCCAAATGTTAACCTTGCTGTTTTTCAGGAAGCAGAACCCTTGGCCAAAGAAGGATTGGGTCTGGATTTAAAGAGTGATTGTACATTGACTTCAGTGCGTTTTGTAGAATGACATTGAAATACAAGCGAAAGCAAACATTGGCATTTTTAGATCCATAATAATCCACTCTCCTATTGGGTTTTCCAATTTTTTTTTACATTTTTTTGTATTGAGTTATAGTCATTTTACAATGTTGTGTCAAAGGGCTTTCCAATTTTTAAAATTAATGTTCCTAATCCTGACAAACAGTGAACTGAAAATTTTGTGTTGACATTATGTGAATTCTCTTTGATTATGTAACTGAAGTTGTCAGTATAAACAATTGATTTTTCCTCATTTAGCACTGAGTGAGACATACAGAGTTCATGTAGTTTTGCCAATCTGAACAAATGGAACAGACTGAATTCAAAGTTAGAAGGGTTAAGGAGCTTAGAGAAAAATAAGCTGGTTATTTATTGAGGCATGACAGGAGACAGACCTGGGTCTAATTAGTGGCTTAAGCCCTTTTAGCCAAACAAATGCCGCGCTTAACCATGTCAGGCCACTGGGCCTTTTAAACCCATGATGGAAATATTTCCCACGTGGGCCCTTCTGACCTTCTGGACAGCCTCTGGAGTCTCCTGTCCACTTGAGGACAGCTCTCTGGCCTCCTTTCCATTCCTCAGATGCCTTTCTTGTCCTCCCTGCTTGGGGCGATACCTACTCTCCCTTCCGTTGCCTACTGGACTCACTGGCCTCCTGTCTGTGTGGGGACAGATGGCTGACCTTCTGCCCTCTTCCTGCTCCACACCTCAGCCCTCTTGACTAGGCCCTTTCACTCAACTTACTCCAACCACCTGGTCCCTAACCGGTGCCTGCCGTATGGATAGCAGTGAGCACCTGCCCCATGGGGAGCCAGCCTCTGGATTCAGATCCCCTGTCGTTTAAAAGCGGGAGCCCTAGTGGGGAGGGTACAGCTCAGTGGTAGAGCGCATGCTTAGTATGCACAAGGTCTGGGTTCAATCAAATAAATAAGTAAACCTAACAATCTCCCCTGCAAAAAAATTAAAAAATAAAATAAAAACATTAGCCCAAAATTAGCAGAGAAATAAAATAAGAGACACTGATCCAGACAGTGAATGGGTATCATAGGTGGGCCAGTTCCACAAACAGTCTGAAGACTGAGGAGGAAGAAGGACAAGATCGAGGGCCAGCAGTCACTAGTGAAAAGAATTCAAGGGACGCTAAAGGGTGGCTTTTCCCCAAGAGAAAACAAAAAGTTCCAACTGCTCTCTTTTATCTTGCAGAAGATCCCTGCCTTAATATCGCTATTTAATTCTCTCCAACAGTGATTTCCCATTGGCACCTTTCCACCCCCCTTTAATTAATCCAACCCACATTTATTACATGCCCGCTGTACACCTGGCACCGTGCTTATTTCTGGATTTACGAAATGAATAAGGCAGCCTCAGCTGTCACGTGTGCTGACCGCGGGGGAATAGGGGACAGCCCTACAGATGTTGAGTCATTCAACAAGTGTGGATCACGCACCCATCTGTGCCCGACACCGTGCTGGGAATCTGGTTATTCATACTGTAAACATGGTTCCCACCTCATGGAGCCTGTAATTAGCAGAGAAGCTAAATAAGTTTTTGCAGAAATAATTGTTTGATTATATTAGTGTTAGGGTTTGAAACGAGACCAGTGTGGATTGCAGTACCTGGGGGACTTGGCCTGACTTACGGAGTGAAGAAAGGCTTCCCTGAGGAAGGAATGTATTCGCTGAGCACTGACAGGGATACAAGAGTTAGGCAGACACGTGGTAATAGAAATTGGCAAGTGCTATGATACAGATATGAACAAAGGACTGTGAGAACAGCAGGTGACCAAGTGACTGCTCAGGGTGAGGGGAGGGGTTTGGGAAAAGGTTTCTAGGGGGTGTGATGTTTTAGCTGGATATTTAAAGATGAGAAAGGATTTTCTATGAGAAATATGAAGGGAGCTGCATTCTGATTAGAGGGAGTGGCCTGTGTTAAGACCCAAACATTCAGAGCATATTCTGGAAATAATACAAAGTTTAGTGTCACCAGAGAGAAAGAGGTGTGATGGGGGCTGGGGGCATGGGAGATGATAAGGTCCTGAGTTCAGACAGTGGTAGCAGGGCCAGAGTGGGTGGCAGATTCAGGAGTTAGTGCTAAGGCCAGGTGGGATGTGATTTGACAACTAAGAGAGAGTTGCCTAAGAACGGTCAAAGGGCAGACCGTTCCCATGCTGGATTTGAGGGGGTGATGGTGTCCTGGGGTGGCTGGGTTATGGGCTGGAGTCAAGGATGAGAGAGAGAAACCAGTAGAAATTTGAGCATTCCTGTGCTTAGGGCATGTTTATTTCTACTTTATTTTATATTTTTTATTGAAGTATAGTCTATTTACAATGTTGTGTTAGTTTCTGGTGTACAAACTACTATATATAAAATAGATAAACAACAAGGACTTCCTATAAAGTACAGGAAACTTGTAATAACCTATAATGAAAAAGAATATGAAAAAGGGCATATTTCAGTGGCATGTTTATGAAGAAGTACGTAATGGTGACTGCATCATGTTTTATTTTTGTATTGCTCTAACACTTAACTTTCCATTATAATAAACGGTACGTAGTAAATAATAAAAATAAAATATCTTCATGGAGAAGGAAGTTGAAGGTTAAACAACACTGTGGATTTCTCTGTAATTCTGCAGATCCAGAATGAGGAGAGTGTGGTGCTTTTTCTGGTCGCGTGGACGGTGACAGAGATCACTCGCTATTCCTTCTACACATTCAGTCTTCTCAACCACCTGCCATACTTCATTAAATGGGCCAGGTGGCGATGTCTTGCAGTGTGGTTGCTCTCAGTCCTGTGCATGTGTATTTTGTGTGCTGAGCTAACACAGAGAATTAAAATTTGCGTCTTAGCCCTGTCTTGCCAGGAGGCTGTTGTTTTGGATACTAGCAGTGTTATAACCTGCATTCTAAAGGCTTAATTTATTGACCAGAGAGGAGGCATATTAATATATATCTTGGGTGAAAACAATGGCAGACAAATGATCTTAGTGTTCTGAGATCACCTCTGAATCGATCATTGATTTTTCTTTGAAAGAAAAATGCACATTTTTGGAATCACATTAAATAAACCCTGTGCCAAAAATACGGCATTTTGTCTAATTGATTTAAATTATTTTAATATCCAATCTGGTGTCCACAATTTTTAGTATCATCTATACAATGCCAACTTTTTTTACATGTATTAAGTAGTGGAGACATTTTAAAAAGTCATACTTAACTTGAAATTGTGTTATTTGGAGTGAGGATAAAAAATATATTTCTAGGGCTCTAAATATAACTCTTTTAAAGCAGCAATTTTTAAAACAGAAGGTGTTCCATCCTTTTTAAAGTTTGCATTCTTTGAGCAGCCTATATTTTGCAAAGGTTTTATAAAAACAAGACTGCTCTTTGGAGAACAAATCACATATCAGCCTAGATTTGTTCATTCCATTCTCTATATTGTATTTATAGTAAAAAAAAACCTAATAATAACAATAACATATGCTGTGTGCATACTGCACACCTGAGCTACGGGTGTGAACACAACAGCATCTCTGTCCTCTCAAGATGGAGGAGACAGGGGGAGGGTATAGCTCAGTGGTAGAGTGCATGCTTAGCATGCATGAGGTCCTGGGTTCGATCCCCAGTACCAGTAAATGAATAAATAAATAAAAATAAATATAATCGCCCCCCTAACAAAAAAGGAGGAGACAAAAAAAAAAAAATAAACCAACAGGTATGAGAAATGCCAGGTGGTGAGAAGTACAAGGAAACAGTTGCGTGAAGGGACGTCTATCCCATAAACATTTATCGTGTGTGTGTGTGTGTGTGTGTGTGTGTGTGTGTGTGTGTGTGTGTGAGAGAGAGAGAGAAAGAGAGAGATCCACATAGGTAGGATAAAAGGGTTCAATAATATTTTTCATTCTTTAAATTTTTTGTTAAGTTACAAAAATAATACATTTTCATTGTAGAAAAAAAACCCTCAAAAAACAGTCCAGAGGTATGTAGAATAAACACAGTAAATTCCTGTTTGTATTCCTACCTGACCCCCATTCCCTTCCCCGGGAGAGAAAAAGTTGCAAGTTTGCTCATCCAGAATTTTCCTTCTTAACAAAAATGTGACCACACAGATGTGAATTTTTAAAAACATGAGTAGGATGACATGATACTTGATTTTTGTTTTTATGTTGGGGCTCTTTTTTAAAATCAGTGCAGGTATATTGAAGTCCAGCTCTCATAACGCGTAATGCTGCATAATACTCCATAGCAGGCCTGACTCAGTTCTGTGTTGCTAGAGGTTAGAGTATTCCCAGTTTTCTAATATTAATAAATGCTGTTTTATGATAGTAAAAACAGTGCTATTTCTGTATTTCTGTTATTTTTTTTAAACTCTGACATTTATATTAATACATAGCTAACTTACGAAGGTAATTCATAACTAGTGTTAGACTTGTGTTTGATCCACGTATCCTAAAAGCCTAAACTTTTTCTTAAGTAATTGTTCCTTTTTTTTTATAACTCCTATATTATACATGTTCAGATATAGTAAATTAGTATATATAAATAAACCAAAAAGAAGGAAAAAACCTTTTAAAATTTTAAAAAACCTTTAAAAACCTATATTACCCCCTGCAAAGGATAATCACTGTTAATTATGCTATATTCTTTCAAACTGTTTTATATTCTCAAGCTGCTATTTTAGACATTTGTGGCTTACCATTTCGATGTAATAAAATGCTTTAAAATTATAATTTGAGCTTAAGCATATTGTCTGCCATTAGAAGCTTGTCCCACCATGTATAAGCATTTGGTTGGTTTAGTTTTCTTGTACCTGGAAACTTAATCACTCAGAGCACTTGGGCCTTTCACAAGATTGGTGGTTTGGAATGTAGCTGGATTCTAACCCTAGAATGCATCTCAGTGTCATTTTACATTACCTCAGTCTTTCAGACCTCTGGCATCTCCGAAAATACTAATTCATGATACAGTCTCTTTTATGTGCTGCATTTATAAAATTTGTGGAAGATAATGGTCTTTCATACTTTGCCTGCCTTTTAGAATGCATTTGCATGTCTTGAATTTCTGGAAAAGTTCAAAACTCTACCACTGCATGTTTAGATTTGTGTTAGAAATTCTTTGTCACCTACCTTAATGTTAAAAATGTTACTAAAAAATCTTTCAGCTTTGAAATGGCATGTGTTGTTAACATAATACATCGTATCAGTCAGAAATATTCATGAATAATTATATTTCATGTCAAAAATCTTAAAAATCTCAACGATCTCTCTATATATTTACCAACCCTATTAAACAACCTCAGATAACATAAGTACTTATGTTCAAATGCTATTCTCAAACTAAACTTCACGTTAAAAATGGCTTCTTATTTATAAGTAGTTGCCCTACTGTGATGCTTTGAAAATACTTTGATTCTATTCATGTGTTAGAAGTGTCCCTAGAAAAGCCCACTGAATAGATAATTGTATATAGTTATGTTTTCATATGGGTTTCCATTTTAGTTTCAAAAAATGCGCTCCCTTCAAAAAATTTTCAGTGACAGGAATCTGTAAGGAAACATATCTTTTTCTGAGTAGGTAGTTAAATCTCTCGTGCTGCATCAAAGCTTAGAAAGTTGGTGACATACAGCCTTTTTAAAGTGCAAATAAAGTCAGTGTATTACGTGGTGCATATAATAAATTACATAATGGGAATATTTATCATTCCCATTTCATTAAAAATAATCACCATCTTTTAGGCTTTAACCTAGTTTATTCTGAGTGATTTTTTTTTCTGATTAAAGAACAATCCTACAAAAACAAAAAATCAGAGAGTCACAAAGTTAAAAGAACACTTAATAAGTTTAAATGTTTTACTTGAGAAGGGAATATAAAATGTTCAGTTATGGAATTTTAAATTGAGCTGGGAAATCGAGTTTGGAAAAGATTGATTTAAATGATATACAGATAACTAGACAAGACTGGTGAGGAAGCAGGTGCCAAACACAAAGCCAAGAGTGGGTACATGGGGACAGTAAGGGGGTCCTTCTCCTTTCTCTGCCAGTTAATCTATTTTGGCAGATAATTCTGCCCCCTCGTCATCTCTTATCCTTACATATTCTTGGTGTATAGGAATACTGTGATTTTTAAGTTGTCTCCAGGCTCTGCCATCCTGACACATTGGACTTTTCTTTACAAATATGTCTTAATCACAACCAAATGATTAAATACAACACAGGTCGATTTGATTTCTTTCTTTTGCCACCAAAGTTTTGACCTTAATTTTCCGTGGTTACCATTATATAGTGACTGACTTGGAGAAAACTGATTTTCTTTGTTGGAGAACTGTGGCTGCCCTGGCTGGATGCTGGCGGCTCTCCTGCTGGACACCAGTACAGGCATCTGCAGTGTTCCCCTAACTGTAGGCGTCAGGGATGCCTGGCCCACTCTGTTAGAGAATGATCCACAGTCCCAAATGAACACATTGTGATTGGATTTTGAGCAGAATTTTCTCAGCTCTCTCTCAAGCAAGCTAACTATTCCTTTGATGTGGGATTTTAGGACACAGTCTGTCTTCTTTGTTTCATCATGAAAGCAGTTTTAGACAAATATCTTCATTAGTAGTTACTGATGCTTCAGGTGATTTTATCAGTTTTCTAAAATAGTCACTCTTTTAATTAGTAACCAGAAAGCATTTTCCAAATGGCTCCAAAGAACTAGCTTGTCAATTTCAAGATTTTGGTATAAAGTTAGGATCATAACTAGTCTTTTAAAGCACAGTGTTTAATCTACAGATGACTAGCTGCAGGGAGAAAAATCAGTGTGAGCCCAGGTGTCAAAGAAGTTACCTTTACAATACCTTACAACACTTGCATTTACTTTACAATATAATATGTTTATAATACTTGTATACTTTACAGTACTTAAACTGCATATACATTTTAAATGTACAGTTATTTCAGTCTGTGAAGTGAGTTGACTTCTTACTGTATTAAGATACTGCTGTTTAAAATGGAAACTGCTGTGAGAAAAAAGTGTGATAAATTAATAAGCAAAAGATTAAAGTAGAAGAAAAGTAACCTTATGTGAAATTATTGTAAGTAAATATATATAGGAAGGAGAATTTTTAAGTTTAAATATAGTAGCAAAAAAGGCATGATATAAAATCCAACAATTATTCTAGAAAATAATTGAGGTTTTTCTTTCTCCAGATACAATTTTTTTATCATCTTATACCCTGTCGGAGTTGTTGGTGAACTTCTTACGATACACGCTGCCTTACCCTATGTGAAGAAAACAGGAATGTTCTCAATAAGACTTCCTAATAAATACAATGTCTCCTTTGACTACTATTATTTTCTTCTTATAACCATGGCCTCTTATATACCATGTAAGTATGCATTTATTAGTACTTTGATTTAGCACATGCTGTGAAAGCTTTTTGGAAGATGTTGTAAAATGCTAAATTAATAAGCAAGGAGAAAGAATGTCTTACAAGTACATTAGAACGTCTTTTCAATCCCACATGTATTCATAATTTGAAATAATTGAAGAGGGAGTTGTGAGAAAAAAGATAAGTTAATACACAAATGATGGCTTTCTCAAAATCATTTAAAATATGCTTAGTATAAAAAAATACACTTAGTATGATGTGTGTTTTTAAAGAGAAATCATGCATCGGTGAATGCTTTGCAAGTGTTTAGAATTATGTATCTGCACGTAAGCATTTTACCCAGGAAAATCTGAGGTCATCTCTGTCTTCATTAAATACTTGGAAAAATCATCTGAGTCTTTTTAGTCTTATGTATGTTGCTCTATGTACTAGAAAATAGTGTAGAAGCTGCTTTTCTTAAAATACTTTGAGTAACTCAGCCCCTTCACTCATTTCTCATCACCTTTCAATAGATGCAATGAATTGGTGAGGCTCTGTTCGGTTCTCTTACATACTAATAGTGGTATGTTTGTAGGTCACATTCTGACAATCTCTAGCAGGAAATGTGATGATAAAGCCAGGCTGTTAGTTGTCCTTCTCACTAAAATGAGAGACTCTGAGGTCAGTGGGGGGAAAAGGGAAATGAGAAACTTTAATAGAATCTGAAATTGACACTGACACTATATAAAATATTTCAGCTCCAGGGGATGAGCGTAAAATTTGGCCGCTTCCTTGAGGACTCCAACTTTAAGTCTTTCCACACCCAGAGTTGACTTGATGGTCACAGAGGGTCTTTATTCCCTCATCCTCTCCCGTGTCAGCCCGACTCTGTCATCCAATTGTCCGGCAGAGCCAGTTCAGGAGGGCTCAGGGGTGGGGTGCCTGCAACACTTGTTTCACCCCCGATTTTCCCCACATCTAGTGAGTGAATGCAGCATGCCTTGAGCAGAGCCTCGCCTGGCTTCAGTATCGTCATGGTTACAGGTTCAGCTATTGGGTCCCCCCCCCCATCCTCACAACCACTGTAGCATCACCATGGAAACACGGGGCCCAACAGATCCTGGTTTGACACCATCAGACCTGTACTTCTGACTGCACATGTGCAGGTCTCCTGGAAAACTGAGACTCCAGCAACTTCTCATTTGACCAGGTTGTCAGTTACCCGAGAGCCCCACTTGCTGGAGGGTTAGTCAGCCCGGGCGGTGTTTTCCAGCTGTTTATCAGTGTTAGTATTAATAACAACTGACTTGACTTTGCTTATTAAGCCCTTTGCTAATTATGAGTATAAAAGTTCTTTCAAGTGCTTATTTTAGTGCTCAGAAAAATGCTCTTAGTCATCATTTATTCATATGGACATTATAGATCAGAGAGGTTAAGTGAATTGCTTAAAAATCATCCAGTTAATAAAAAAGGCCAGGATTTGAACTCAAGCCCATGCTTCTACTGAACTACACAGAACATTAACTGTGGTTAATATAGTAAGACTAATTAACTGTAGTTAATTTGTCATAACTACTGCAAGAAGTATTTGCAGTAACTAAATCAGTTGGCTTTGAATGTGTATGACCTGGATATATTTAGGTCCCTCAGTATCATATGGTGGTTACATTTATCAAGATGAGTAATAAACACCTCCCTAAGTAAAAATAAAATCTTCTGTGCATTTTAGCTCCATTTGAGCTAAGTTCTAAAGTAGTTATCCACTGGTACCTAAGCAAAATATTCAAAGCTGGTTTTGTCTTTAGGTTCATTGGTTTTGATGATTCTGTTCATCGTTTTGAGAGCTATTTCTACATTTGTATTGTCTGTAGCTGATGTTAATTTGTTCATCCACCTACGTTTACCCTATAATTTAAAGTTCTGGTTCAAATTGGGTCAAAATAATTCTCCAGATTTGACAGAGCAGGGGACCATTCATCTAACTGACCTAATTAATAGGCATTTATGTGTTTGTATGTAACAGACTACCCTTATGCCCAGCCAAGAGGGGCTTCTGCTCTGGGCCACATTTTAGAGGGTGCCATTCCAGCTCTCTGCTGATAACCGCCCCCCCAACAGGACCCCCTTCTAAATCACATTCTGGAACCTGGGATCACGGAATTGGCTATCCATACAGTGCTGAGCACCCATCTGGGGACTGCATAGGTCTGTTCTGAGGGTTAGCTGTGTCAATGGTGTACACATCCCTGAGATCAGGGGTAGCCAAGGGGCAGCTGGTTGTTAAGGAGGATGGATGAAGCTGGATTATGTGGGCTCGAATATCCACACAACTGTTCATGAGACCCCTCCTGGTACAGGACGGCCAATAAAACAGAAGGGAGCCAGGGGGCAGCTTTTCTTCTGCTGGAGTGTACTGGCATGATATTCCAAAGAGAGAATTCTAAATTCAGACATGGCCTTCCAGGTCATTATGAAGGTATACTTATCATGATATTTTAAGTTTGCTTTAAATATAGACCTAACAGTTTATGGCATTAAAAGATGTCAGTGTATGGTGTGTGGGTCTTGAGTCTTACTCTGAGGGTGAGCCCTGTAAATATAGGGGAGGTAGCAGTGGTACTTGGTGGGCCTGCTCTCAGAGTTTGCCGTGTTGAAGAGGTTTTTAAGTAGAAAACATTTCCAACAATAGCTTATCTTTCTTTGTTTCCTTCTTTCCCACTCAGTGTTTCCACAACTCTATTTTCATATGTTACGTCAGAGAAGAAAGGTGCTTCTTGGAGAGGTGATTGTCGAAAAGGATGATTAAGTGATCCCTACGAACAAGGTGCTTTTTCCAGAACAGCCAGGATTACTTGAGTCCAAGTTTTAATAACAAGAATAAACAACTTCATGAAATAGTATGGATTGTATAATTTCTTAAAATATAACTCGAGACACGTGGTGTTTGCCAATACCTGTGTTCATACTGTGTCAGGTCCATTTTCTACAGGAACTATGCAAGTATTTATCAACTGCTGGGTAGGCGGTGATCAGTAAGAAATTAATTGGGTGTATTACCTGGGGGGAAAAAAAACCAAACTTTTGCTAGGCTTTTAGTTTTTTAGTTTTACTAAATTTTTTTGCAACATATGTTCAAAGCTTTTTAAATCAATAGTTAGAAATTAGTTTAATGATTTACCATTATGATACTTGCCAAGTGATATTTACAAATGCAACTAAATACAGAATTATAATAATTTGTTAATAATGTATTGGTCTTTCTTAACCAAGGATTTATTTCTCTCAAGTTGTAAGGCAGAATTTTTGATGAATGATGATTTTTGGAAACACGATGTGGTTTGCTATGGTAAATCTTTTGATGTAGATAAAGTAGCCATATAAAAAACCAAAAATATTCAATTAGATGTCACAATTGGAAAATAGTCTTTGGAAATATGTTTAGAGCATTGAAATTACTTAAGCTACTAAGCAGGTTTATTTTTATTTGAATTAACTTCTCGAGGTCAGTCTTTTCAACTCGAAGGATTTTAAGGAATTCAAAAGAATGTAAGGATGTACTTGGCCTCACTTGTGAAAAAAAAAAATTGGGTCTGATGGTAACATTGGGTTTGTTCCACTCAAAACTTTGGCTGAAAAAGGCCACTTTATACTGTGGAATCATCTAATGAAAATCATCTTATGATAACCTCTTTGTAGTACTTAAGTAACAGAAAGTTTTGGTATGATCTGAAATAGACATGTTTTATTCTGAATTCCATTGAACAGGAAAAAGTCTTATGATAATGCTTCTGTCCACATGTTTAATAGAAAGATACACTGAAGATACCCTGATAGTGCTTTTAATTCTTTAAATACGTCCTTTACAGATTCCCCCCACCCCCTACTGAGGTCTGCTGCTTTACTGGCCTGGTTTAGAGAGAATATTAAATAGGTGAATTTAAAAGACAAGGAACTTGTATGCCTGCCATAAATATGTAGGTGTAATTTTGGCTTAAAGTGTTCTGTATCTGTATTTGCATTTACAATCAGTGTATAACATCACACTTTTCAAAATTACTTGTCTTGTGTTACCACCTTTTCAAATTATTTCATGTGGAGATTCAGAATAGTTTTGCAAACTTACATTTTAGATAACTTGATTTTAAAAGGTGCTATTTCTTTTATTACATTACATCTTAACATTTCCTCCGCAGCTGAATGCTTTAACGAGCAACATGTATTAGATTATTAATTCTCAAAGATGCTGGTGTTCATTCTGCACTTACATGCCTTGATCTGTCTTCATCTTGAGTTTTTATACAGAAGAAATTTTCAGGGAATGTTCCCATTTGCTAACATAGTGTAAGAAGTTTGCATATCTGTTATGTGCCTGTCTTATGAAAGCTATTTTAAATCCTCTTCCTGCAACTTGCATTAATTCAACTTGTGCTCCCTACCAGCAGCTGTAATACTTTTTTTTTTTTCTGAAGTTGTGGAATATCCTGAAATAGGAATTGTGATCAACTTTAATAAAAATGAAAATGTATCAAACTCATCAGTGACTATGTTAATATACTCAAAGTATGCCTAAACTTTAGATTTAGTGTATCTTCAGTATCTTTTATTTCAACTAATTCTCAACCATCTTTTGTGTAGAAAATAAAGTGCTTAAGTGGTAGTTTGATTTTGAAAAGACGAAGTATTTGAAAGTCCTTAGCACTTGTCTTCTGTGGCTGCATTGTCTTTTGAGTGTCTCCCAAAGTCACCGTAATGTTCCTTTTAGTAGGTAAGTCAGGCTTGATTGAGTCAAATAGACCCAGAATTCAATCCTGAAGATTTTGGATTTGAAAAATGTATATCAAGAAATTTTGATATGAGCACCCTCCTGTTGGACTTGACATTCCTTACAGTTCTGGCTTTAAATTTTTCATAGCTTTATAGCTTGATACATCAAGCTATATTGTATTGTGTATCATACTATATGTATAATATGTCTTTTTAGAAACTTTTCATGGTCTTAATTTGATATTAATACACAACATCCTTGATAGTTATAACTTAATGGAAAAAAATGCCAAAATAAATATTAAAAGTCATTTTTCACCAAAGGCTTTTGTTACTTGACATCTGTAGAATCTCAGAAGTGTTATGCTCGCATCTTTGGATTTTTAAGCATCTAATTATTATACCACTACCTCCTGGTTTCTGACGCTCTTTTGCAAAAGTGACACAGAATAGTGCAATCCCTTCCTTTCTCCCCTGACCTTCCAAAATATTTGTGCCTATTGTGAGCCAGGTACTGTTGTGGGGAATTAGCAGTTTCCTCCTGCCACACCTCTCTCTTCAACCTACATAGTAAACCTCTGACAAAATTACTAGGTTAGATCGGTTAGGAAATCATTTTGCAAAATAATGATTTGCGCTTTAACAAAATTTAGGGCATTGGTAATCTGATGTAGCGGGATTCTTTGTTACTTACATGTGTTAAATGTCTCAGAACACCACTAAAGAGGCAACATTCTGATTTAAAATTACTTTTGAACAAAATATGAAACGTTATTAAGGCACAACGCTGAAGGAAAAAGAACTCTTAAGAAGCAACATTTAAATGAATGTGTAAAATGCAGAGGTATTTTCCATTAAACATATATGTAGATCTGGAATATACATATAATTGATAAATATAAGAACAACACGGTTTTGTAATTTCTACTATGAAGACATCAACTGGAACTGAAAATTCAGTTTGTTTAGTCTAAATTTTTGAAACATCTAAAATAGACATTAATCATTCCTCTAGGCTTGAAGTTTAAAAATACATTCTAAAAATTTCAGATTTTTTTTCCAGCTTTTAAAAATATATTTATCATTTTTTTTATTTTGATAGAATTTCAAACTTACAAGTTGCAAGAAGACTTACTAAGAAGTCTTCACTTGAATTCCCTTAACATTTTGCCCTTTTGCTGTAGTAATCTCTCTTCATAATATTTTGTGAACCATTTGAGAGTAAACTGGAAACATTAGCCCCTCATTACTTCAGTGTATGTTTCCTAACAAGGACACAGGACAGTGACCCAAATCAAGAAATTAACACTGACAGAATATCTAAACTACAGACCTTATTCAAACCTCATCAGCATGGACGTTCAGAACACGTATGTTCTGGGTCAAGATTCAGTCCAGCTTCGGGCGTTTTATTTAGTTGTCATCTCTTTTTGTCTGGAGTGATTGCCTGATTTTTTTGTTTGTTTGTTTCATGATTTTAACATTTTCAACAGTCAAGAACAGTTATTTTGTGGAAAGTCTCTCAATTTAGGTTTGTTTGAAGTTGCCATATGATTAGATTTAATTTATGCTCTCTCCTGTAGGAATATTGATTTGTTCCGTTTACTGGTATTTTAGGAGTTTTGTTTTTTAACATTTTGGTTTCAGAATAACACATAGGCCTTTTGGTCTTAATTCATTGGAGTTTGGCTTTGAAATGAGGCACCAGGATTTTTTTTTCCTACATGATTAATATGTCTTGTTCTGATACATGAAGATTGATGTCTTTTTAAGGGCTTAAAAAGTACTAAATTATTTTTATACACACAATTTCCAGGCATATTGTTAGCCTGTTGACTTTTATGCCCCTAGACTGTAAAACTCTATGATTATTAATATACTTTGATTCTGCTTTAAAAATATTTAACTACAGCATCCTGGTCTACCTAATTGTATATTCTCACCATGTCATTCTGCTCCACTGAAATGATACATAATGCAGGATTGAGGGTGCTCCCAAAATACATTTTATTTCCTACTTATGTTACTGCCTTGCCCCCAGTATTTTAAAATGCAGTGTGTTTAATTTGAAAATTAAAATTACTTTTTGTTTCATTTGGTAAAGTGTTTTATTCAAAAGCTTCTCAGCACCATCTAGTTGTCAGAAGAACAGATACCCCTTTTCATGCCCACCCAACTCCCAATTCCAGAGGCAGAAGTTAAACCATTTGGTGAGAGTTCCCCCTAATGATTATAATTCAGATCATGATAAGGTTTGGGCTGTTCTCTCACCCACTTCCTCTAAGCCTCTGCCTAACTCTGACTCAGGTAGAACTGTGTTCCCCCGCAGTTCAGAACAACAGGAAGGAATCGTGTCAGTGTTGATCAACCTCCCATTCCTGGGCTATTAGAGGCACATAAAATTACCTTGAAAAAACTGAATTCAGTGACTGCCATCTAGGCGGGACAGTGACACTGTCAGGCAGCATGCAGTTCTGAGAACTTGAATATTAGGGCACCCTCCCCCCACTCTACTCTAGGACCAAGGAGCACTAGGGCATTTTCTCTCCACACACCTCTATTGCTCCTCCTCTCCTGCCACATAAAAACAGACATGGAAGCAAACCTGTTGACAGAATTAAGACAGTTACATCTGATTAAAATGGTAAGAGATCCTGAGCTGCTGGAGATGAGGAGAATAGATAGTATGACCTGATCTTTCCCTTTTTTCTTTAAGAACATTTTGTTTCAGCATAAAGCACACTTCCCCAAAGGGGTTCCTGGAAGAGAAATTCAGGGGTCTGACTGTGTCCTGTGGAAACACACAGTCACCTGGGTAACTTTGGTTTCAGGTCTGGATCTGTCCTTTGTAGCTACTTCAGGTCCCACGGGAGGAGGAAAGGCTGGGGGGCAGAGTCACTCGGCCAAAGTGGGGTCCCAGGCTGGCAGGATGATGGGCTCCTGCTCTAGCATGGCCAGCACCTCTCCAGGGACATGCTTCTTGTCCACCACCACCTCGTAAACATATTCACAGAACCACTCCTCTGTCATGCACAGGTAACCTTTATGGCCATGGTCTTCACCCCATGAATTTTCTACTCTCCATTTCAGGAAACTACCAGCCTGATCATCCTTCTCTGAGACAGCAGTGAAGGTCATGGCGTGGGTCATGAGTGACTCACCAAAAGTCAACCTCTCAGCTTTATTCATGTTCTTCATGGAGACACCAAACACTAACTCATGGTCATAGGCATTCATGTCACTGAGGCCCAGCTTGCTATTGAAGTGTTTTCCAACATCACAGCCAAACCACACAGCCTCTCCATCTTTGATGGAGGCAGCAACCATCTTTTTCAAGAAGTCAATGGGTTGGTTGGTATATAGAGTTTTTCTCCTTCCAACCATATTGCTTAAGTAGTCCACCATGTAAAGTTTGTTGTACTTGTGCTGGGCTGAGGGTCATTCACTAAACAAATCTTATCTTCCATGTTGAAGAGTGGCTTGACATGTTCCCTGTAAAACTGCAAGGGTGTTAGGGGGCCCATCTTCTGATAGTTTTTATCCTTGTCTCGATACTGCCAGGTGAACGTCTCTGGTGGACTACGCAAACAGATGCACACCACTCTGAGTATCTCCTCCACCATGACGTCCTGTGTGGCTGAGATCTCTCCTTTGGTTGCTCCACTGTGTACCAGGTTCCGTAGTCGTATACAGAATTCTCTCATCTTGTGACTCGGAATATCATTCATCCTTCTGGTTGCCTCTGTTGTGTAAGAGTCAGGGAAGCATTTCTTAGGGACAACACCATATTTTTCAACAATATTGACAAGCATATCCCATTGGCCACCATCATTTGCAGGATTTGTAAGCAAATACTGCACCTGCCTACCATCCTCAGGCTCCTTGTTCTGGGCTGTGTCCACAAAGGCGTTTAAGAAGAAGTAACAGTGTTCAACCTTGCCCCAGAAAAAGAGGTAAGACTGAATAAACTCAAATTCCTCAATATTTAATTTTCTCATGAATGGACGTCTCATAACATTCCGACAAGAAAAGACCCAGCATCTCCCTGAGCTCTTCTGGTTGGTGGCTGGCTTGCCTTCCTGATGCACATTGGGCTGGAACACATGCTGCGCACCCTGGGCCGTGGCCCTCTTCAGGCAGATGCCCAGCAGGGCGTGGGTGGTGCCGACATTCTGAGCCAGGACGAACTGAGGGTCAGAATTCAGTTTCTGAAGCAGAGCAGCTACCTTCTCCGTATTCAGCCCCGCGTTGTTCACGGTGCCCACGCTGCCCGGGTTGGAGGATGGTAGTTTTCGGGGTCCTCAGACCCGACCTGCCTCTCGCACCCCGAGCGCCGGAAAGAGGAAACCGGCTCGGTGGCGGCGGAGGGATGAGGCCGAGAGAAACGGCGTCCGCGGAGGAACCTAAAATTATTCTTAAATCTACTTAACACTTTGTGGGGTTTTTTTGGTTTGTTTGTTTGTTTGTTTTTTGCTTTTAAGATAAGGACTGTACCAAATGGGTTTCAGACCACAGCTTTCAGAAGAGTGATCGGAGACCCCAGACTCCTTACCTTAGAGATTTTGCATCAGTGGTTGTGGGGTTAAGAAATCTGCATTTTTAGCAAGATGCTGGGCAGTTTGAAGCAGTTTAGTCCGCCTCCCTTTTGAGAAAAACCGCAATAGAGAAATCCCAGGGGGTGGATGGAGATGATTTATAAATGCCGTATCCCATTTACTTAATATAACTGAAAAAATCAGCATTACTGTGTTATTCTATTGTTTCTAGCCAAAGTGAACACCATAGTTTTAAGTTTATGCAAACAAAAAACTTGATATTTGCATAGTGTGAAGTAGGAAGACATTTTGTATGTTTTTTTAAAGCATATTTTATAGCCATGCAGTTATCTGTCTGTTCCCTTAAGTAGTACAGAGTGTAAGACAGAGAACAGAGGTAAAATCCAGAGTAATAGTTTTTCTGGTTGTACTGAATTTAATGATATGAAATAAATGGACATCACTGCAGTTAGAAACCATGGTAAAAGTTTAGTAGCGTTGTTAATTGAACAGAGCTAGTCTTTTCTTTTTTTGTAAATAAGCCAGACACACACATGCGCACGTTTCTTGGAAAGGACTATATTAAAGATGGTGAAAAATATGTGTGCTCCTGTTTTTGAGAAATACACACAACAGAAAATAATTATAATTTGCCCGAGTGATTTATAATTTAATCATCAGTTGGCTAAAATAGGTTTGTGGCTAAATTAATATGTCCAGAAGCTAGTTTTATTGGGTATACTTTGAACTTTATTAAAACCTTTATGACAGAAACTAATCTTAAGAACTGAGGAAATTGAAAGATTAATTTACATTAAATGTACTCAAGAAGAAAAAATGACTCAACCAGTTTTCAGCTGGAAGAATGTTGATTTTTGAGCATCAAATAATATTTTTCAAAGCTACTGCTTTATTTGTGTCTTGTATGCATAAGCATTTGCTCTAAAATCTGGTTCTGCTTTTTTGTTTCAGCTCCAAAAGCAACATATATGAGATAATTTATAGACACTGATTTTGTAGCATTAAAAAGGTACTACTGTTTTAAGGAAAAGTAAAATTCTAGAAAGTTCATAACTTCAGGATAATTTCTTTTTGCAAAGAAATGCTTCTGCAAATACTGTATGTGGTAGATGGTATGATCAACTATGTGCTAGGTAGCAAAGTCAGATATGAGCAGAGCTAGCAAAAAAAAAACAGGCCTTTAAAAACAGTTTTGCGAAAATGCTGGTTATTTTACAGGTGATACATATTCATAGTTATGAAGTTTTTGGCCCCGAAAAATTCCTAATGATGTGCTTATGGAATTACCTGCTTTCTGTAAATGCATTCAGCCAGTTTTGGAAAAAAATATTCTAAAATATTCCCTGTGAATTAACTTTAGTTGTATAGATACTTTGGAAACACTCACTTGGTGTGCTCATTTTTAAATGTGTTTTGTTGAGTAAGCATTAGAAAGGAGAAAAGAAGTCGTTACGACATTTATTTTAAGCTTTGGTGGAATTAAGGCTGAGTTGTTTTAGTACTAATTTTAGTCTTCTAGTGAATGAAATGGATTAAAGCTATAAATGTTTCTTTAGGAGGAAAGTGTACATAGATTTATTTCTCGATAAATACTAACAAAATTATAAACAGTGCCTTTGAGTATTACTATCAGATTCTGATGACAGGTATTTTTAAATTCTCTCATCAGTCACATTCAGTGGTGGAATGATGACACGTGTAATGGTTAAGAACTGGAGCCTGGGAAGGAAACCAGTCTAGGTTTAGGGAAAACTACTTAATTTTCTTAAGCTTCTGAGTCCTCATCCGTAAACTGGGGTAGGAAGTTGTCTGAATTGCAAATGAGATAACATCTATAACTATTTAGCACAGAGCTTGGCAAATATAAACGCTCAATGAATGTTAGTTGGTATTGCTGACAGTTTGCTCTCAATGGTTTTATAATAACTATGTTGTGCTGGGTGAAATTTCTGAAGTCGTACCAAACCCACTTATGTCTGGGATAGAGTTTAATGTCACTGTCACATAATTGTCTTGGGTAAAATTTTCTTTTCCTATATTTTTTCCATTTTTTTCTGATTTGGAAGATTGCGTATATGTAGTTATTTTTCTTATCTTGAATTAGAAGTAGGGGGCTGTCATTTCATTTAATAGTAGGACAGTAGGAAGAAGCTACCTAGACACTGGTCTCTTTCAGAGTATGTGTGGTATCTTGATGGCTGGGTCTTTTGAACATGAATATTTCAGATAAAGCAGAAGCTGTAATGATTTATTTTCCAGCCTGGCCACCTGGCAGGGAAGGAGGGTGGGGCTCTGAGTCACTGAGGGGATGTGACCACTGTCTTCACAACAGAAGATATTTTTAGAGAATTCTCCTGCATTAGGATGATATTAATAATTTGTATGTACAGTGTTAATGGAAGAATATGAAAGTTTTCTAGGTTCCTCAAATGAAGAGTTCCTTAATCAGAATATGATGAAATAATTTTGTTCAGAAATGCCTCATCAGCCAGCCATTATTCGCAATAAGAGGATTGACCAAAAACCTTAAGCTCATCTTAAGTCCCCATTTTAAAAAATTAGATATAAATCTCTGACTTCCTAAATGGTGTGCAAAATCTAGATTATAAATTATCTTCTCTCATTTCTAATCTGAAAAGCCTAGATGACCTAATTGGTTAGAGTTGACTGAAGTCATATGGCCCAGCTGTTCTGGTTTCAGATGAGTCAAGTTTACTGGTTTTAGAGAGAACATGGCAGCTTCCGTTGGCTGTTTCAGAAAGGTCAAAATTCAAACCACACAGAATGACCTAAGATAAAAAAGTCTTAGCTTCCTCTTTACTTTTCCCCTTTGTTCTGATAACATCAGGCATTAATAAGAGTTTGGTATCTTTTTAGATCCTTAGATCCTTATAAACACGCGTTTATTCTTTCTCTTCCCCTTTACGTGCGCGCGCGCGCACACACACACACACACACAAATCGTTCTATAAATGGAAATAGTTTGTACATTTTGTATGATTTTGCTCACATGTCTTGGTGATTCATGTGTGTACCCACATAATAGGTGCATGCTATTTCTTAATATGTCTTTCTCCACTGATGGACATTTTTGTTTACAATTTTTAATCGTAGGTACTCAAAAATAACAGATGGTAATGATGATCATAGTAATATCAATATGTAACACATTGGAATTTATTGTGTACCAGGCCATGTGTTAATTTATCTCATTTAAAAATAACAACCACTTGAGTTATTCATATTATAATAAATATTTCAATAATGAAGGATCAGTCTCCGAGAAGTGAAGGAACAGCGCCTTTGTGCCTTTGTACAGATGTATACGTGCAAGAAAGACTTGTAGGTGTAAACCTGTTAGGTTAAAGAGAACACTCACTTTAAATTCTGGTAGATACTACTAAATTGTGTCCCCAAAGAGCTGTAACTCAGTTTAATCCCAGCAGCAAGGCATGGAAGCACCTGTTTCCTCGCAGTCTTACTTTTGTAAAATCTTTGAAATGTAACGCTTGTCTGTAAATCTTTTACTTTTTTCCCATTTATGTTTACCTGATTATTTACATTGAACATGTTTTCAGGTATTTGTTGGTTATTTGTATTTTTCTGTGAGTGGTCCTTTCATGTGGCTTGCCTGCAGTGCTGTTGAGCTCTTAGTCATTTTTATTAATTTGGAAGTGCAAATGTATATTATTTATGTGTATTATTTGTACATATGTTCCTTTCCATTACACGCGTATATTTAGCTTGTTTTTGAAGGCTTTTGTCTTATAGGAGACAAATTTTTATGTACAAAATCTGCCAATTTTTCCCTTTGATTATATGTTTTGCTTTAAAGACTTAGACACCTCAAAATCTTAAGTACATTTTCTTTTATTTTCTTATTCTTCTGTGGCTCATATAACTTATTTGACATTTTGACTGTTATGGTGTAAAGTTGGGTAAGAATCTAACTTTTCTTTTACCTGCATGAATCTCAAATTATTCTAACGGGATTTGTTGAACAAGACCTTCCTTCCTCTCACCATAGTGGAATATTGCCTGTGATGTAAGTCAGGGAACTGTTCGTTTCAGCGTTACTTGAGTATACTATTATGAGACAAAAGAGAAGACCCTCGCACTTGTCACATGTGGAGGTGATTTGCGTGTTTCGATTTCCAGTCTTTCCTCTATTTTTGTCTCTGTGTCTCTTCAAGCACAAGCGTGAATCTGCTTTCATTATGAAATGGAAATTTTTTTTTGGCGGAGGTATGGTTTGTGTCTGAGCTATCACTAGGGGTGCTATTGGCTAGAAATGCCTGCGGCGCTCACCTGGGCCCGGACTACTTCTAGGGGCCCTGTCGACACTTCACAGACTGGAGCCAGTCTTGTGATGTCATGGCTGGTCCAGCCCTTGTGATTCTTGTTAGGATTATAAGGCACACCTCAGCAGCTACCATCAGGGAACTTTGGAAAATCAAGGTTTATGACTCCAGGGTCCTGGAGAGTACCCGGACACGCCCCATGGGCACACAGCAAGGTCATAGGCAGACAGCACAAACTTGACGTTCTG